GCTTTTTTATAATTTGGTGTCGCCACCAGGCCAGTAATTCCCTTTGGATGCACTTAAAATGCATTATAATGAGCATGTAGATAAAAACGTTAAATTGTTCCCAAAAATAGACACAATGGTGATAGGTCTATGGATGCACTTCGAATGTATATATGCATAATTACTTTCGAGATGCCGTTACAATATATAATATGACAATACGCATACTTACTATATGGATGCCTTTAAAATGTATTTCAAAGCCAAGTGGGCATATTATTGGATGCCCTTGATATATAATATAATGGGTATACGAATAATTACTTTAAAGATGACCTTACAGTTTATAAAAATAAATGTGGATAATTACTGTACGAATGCCTTTGAAAATTAGTATAACGAATACGGGCATAATTACTTTAAAGATGCACTTACAGTGTAAAGGAAATATATGGGCAAAACTACTCTAAAAGATGCCCCTACATTTAATATAAAGACCGAATTTATTATAGGAATATCGAATGACTGCCATGGAACTACTCATCACTGATGCCTGCTTTTTCTATGTATTTTTTGCGATACGGACAGTATAATGTCAAAACGAGGGATAGACGATTGAGTATTTGATATAGGTGAGATTGGCAAATTAATAACTCAGTCAGCAACTTTTTTTTTTAAATACAAAAAAAAAAAAAAAAAACTTTCGTTGGATGCCCCACTGAAGTGGATGCCCGGTGCCTGCCCCCCTCTGCACGCAACAGTAAGTAAGTACATTATGCCTTTATGGTTAGTATATTTTTACTTTCTCGTATATACGAAGTATAGAGAAAGTATTGTAATCGTGCACAAAAATCACTTGAAATTTTAACTATTTTCACCGTATTACACCTCAGTCCTTCATCACATCCGAAGTATAGAGGACTTATTTTAATCGGGCAAAAATTATCAATCCAGATTTATCAAAATTAAAAGGTTTTATGCGTATTCCAGTCTGAAAAACTGGGCTTTGCAATTCTGTCCGTATGTCTGTGTGTCTGTGTGTGTGTGTGTCCGTGTGTAAACACGATAACTTGAGTACCGTTACAGCTAGGTTGATGAAATTTCATATATAAGTATTTTATCAAAATCGTAGATCCGTATCAACTTTTGAGCGATTTCGGATAACCGGAAGTGGTACTTTTTCTACTTTGAATTTTTCAAAAGCCTATAACTTGAGTACTATTTCAGATAGATAAATGAAATTTGATATGTAAGTAAAAGATCTAATTCTCTACCTTCTGTCAAATTTTGAGAATTTTTCGTTGACCGGAAGTAGTAATTTACGCTACTTCCGATTTCTCAAAAAACTAATGTAAATTTTAAAAGTACTGATAATATTGCGCACTATTATGCGCTTTTTTATTCGCGTTCACTTGGTGTGCAATCAATTTGTCTACGAGATTTTATTCTATTTTTAAAACTTTAAGTATTTAAAATGGATTAAAAATCATGTCTATAGCCCGAGTTCCCATCCCCTGTTATTTTATATAAGAATATTCGAGAAAGTTTAGGGGAGATCACTCCCGGTTTATTAGTTGTCATATTTCTATTATTTAGCTAAGCTTATTTTTAGGTAGACCCGCTATTCATGTCTAATACTAATATTGATTATTATTTTATTTCTTCAAGTAGACTTAAAAACCACAGGTGAAAACAATCATTCTTCTTTCAAAATTTTATTTATCTCACAATTAGATTCATCTACCACACTGCAGAGTTTCTCAAATTTACAATATTTCCAAGATTTATTTTCTTCGCCGATTTTGCAGCTTTGAAAAAAATGCCCCGAGATTATTATGGAAAGTGATAATAATCGTTCATTTTCCCTGAAGCTTCAGGTTATGCTTATGTTGATGTTCGAACACATCTGCTATGTATGATACTCTCTCCAACCACTCTATGTCGTTTTAAGTATACTAAAAGGTCTTGTTTCCTTTGCATTTCCAAGAACATTTTGATTTCAGATTTCAATTCAAAAACACGATTCACAACAATTCATTTGACAGCCAGCGCACTGTAGTGTAGAAGAGCAGAACCTCGTGATCTTTATTCAGGTCTTTGCTCAGTTCTTTGAAGGCTCCAGATTTTATATAATTTACGACTTATACTAGCAATGGAGTCTTGATGGCGATAGGTGAGTGTTGTAAATGGACCTAAGTGTATGGAATGAGTTTGAGAGTATGTGTGTAGTTGAATGGAGTTAATAAAGTCGTCGATGGTTTGAGAGTATGTGTGTAGTTGAATGGAGTTTATAAAGTTGTGGATGGTTTGAGAGTATGTGTGTAGTGGTGTTAATAGAAGATTATGAATGCGTGAATAAATAAGGATGTGACGTAGGAGAGAATGGTTTTGGTTGTTATGAAGATAGTTGGAAGTCAGTCTTAGTCTTGTCGTCGTCTTGTGAGGATGTTCAGAAGTCGTCGTCCCGTCTATCGTCTATGTAGCTGTTGGTATTATATGTAATAAAATATGGAAACATCGTAGCGTCATTCTGTGTTCTCCATTGGATCGTCGTCATCTATTGTTCGTAACGTTCAGTATGTTGCGAAGTGAGTTTCGGTAAAGCATTGACCTTTTGACCGACTGGTTTAGAGATACAAAAAAGAAGCATCTCTATTTCAATGCACACTCTCACCTGTATTGATTACCCTGTAGAAATTCCTGCGCAGGCCAAGAGAGAAGCAGCGCATAAATAAAGGCGTATCTGACGCCCTAATTGTAGACACGGACAACTTGTTTTGTCGCCGAGGTCCCGGACAGTAATACAAAAACGGATGAGACTCTTTTGTAGTGCATCAAACCTCCCCCCCCCCCCCCAACATGTCACCCAAACTGTCTCCCCATCCCGAAGTTCCACCCATTAATACATCTGAGTTGTTGATTCCTTGGGATTAAGCTTTAGTCAATGTTTTCATCTAGATAAGTACAATTATTTTAAATTGCTTCTCTATTTGTATTTTTAATTAAGCCTTACATATATATATATATATATATATATATATATATATATATATATATATATATATATATATATATATATATATATATATATATATGGGGGCATCTTCCTCTTGAGTTGGCCCCGGGGATCTACATAGGTCTGCACGCCACTGCTTACTTGTAATATTGACCAACTAGATCTAGTAGGCCTATTACTTATATGCTGAAGACACTTTGGTAATATATCGTTTTAGGTACGTAAACTCGGCCGAGAGTAGCAATGTGTCTCATGAAATTTTAGATATTAATAGCCGTCCCGGCCAGGCTCTGCTCTGTCTTCTGTGAAAAACCTTTCTGTTAAAGACCATTACCTGTGTGTTTAGTAATCATCATAAACCCGGCATTGCCCACCCAAACCACAACCAACCAAAACCAAAACAACAAAACGCAAACATAACGCTAACACAATTACAAATGCAAACGAAAACAAAAACCTAACAACAAACCCAACCACAACCACAAACACCAATACGAACACAAAGAAAAAAACAAACGAAAAAGCAAACGAAAACAAACCAAATCCAAACGCAAAACCAACCACAAACACAAATACAAACACAAACCCAAAGAAAAAAAACACAAACGAAAACGAAAAAAGAAAGAACAAAAACGAACCAAATCAAAACGCAACCACTAACGCAAACCCAACCTGAACACAAAGAAAACACTAACGCGAACATAAACGCAAAGTGCTCACATTCTAGCCCGGGGCGGAATCGCCTGTTTCAGCTTAATAAACGACTATAGTACCCCAACTTATTCATAGTCTTTTGCACTCACTTTAACGAACGTAGGCGCCAAACCGAACACGGGAGGCCCGGGGCCCCAAATAGCACCCTGTCTGTGCGCCACAGGACGCACCATGACGTAACCGCACGATTCAACTTAGTAAACGACTATAGTACTTAACTTATTCATATTCTTTTGAACTCAGGCGAACGTAGGTACTATAGCGTACACGGGAAGGCCCTGGGCGCCAAATAGAACCCTGTCGGGGTGCCGGGGGACGCCCGGATTTGATTCACTTAAAGACTATAGTAACCATTCTTATCCATAGTCTATCGCACTGTTTAAAACAAAATTATGCAGCATAGCGCTCACATGATAGCCCAGGGTGCCAAATCGAACCGTGCAGGGGCGCCGGCGGACGCGCCTGTTTCAATTTAGTGAACAAAATGATAATACTCCAAGCTTATCCGTAAATGGAAAGAAATAAACATATAGGATTTGTAGGACCTGGCTTATTAAATGTTATTGATTTTAAAAAATAATTATTGAACAGTATTTGTTCAGTGTATGGAATAAATAAAAGGCAGTATTAAAAATACCAACGACATTGCACTTAATCAATCCCCGCTAATTATGTAATTATTTTTTTTCTTAACACCAAAACAAAGTAATAAAAAGTAAATTCTTTCTTCCTACGATTTAATGATTTTTTTTAAAGGGAAGTGACTGTGTAATACATTTCAGACACAATTTTAGAAATTTTATAAACGTTGATAGGCCCCTACACTTTTTAAAATTTTTATGTAATGTTCATAATTAAAAATTATTATTCTAAGTATATAAAATGAAAATGGTTTTTAAAGACTTTCAATAGTAATTTTTTACTCATAAATTTAGACAGTGAGTACTATAATAATCTAATACTTAAATCCATCGAAGTATCCACGACAAACTTTTTTTTACAAACATGTTACATACAGAATTGAGCTTTATAGATCTCTATATTAGATTTCACATTTTTAGGAGGTTTTATGTTTTGAAAGTTACAAAAAATGGGTAATCTATCGTTTTAGGTGCGTAAAATCAGCCGAGGCTAGAAATGTGCGAAAAGTTACCTCATTGTTATAGCTTTAATAGAAGTATATTGTGATATATCTGTGTCAAATATTATAGATATTTTCTATATAAAAAGCGTTAATTTGTAAGCGGTCATTTTAATGAGTGGTTTCCCCTGAATCTCTAGCAATGATTGTACCAAAAGAAAAAAAAACAAGATGGCTGCTAAAGTAAATGAGTTTGGTTTCATTTTATGAAAACATCTTTAGTCTTGATTATTTACTGAAAAGTTTTAATACAATTGTTTAAAAACTGGTAAATTAATGAGATTACCTTTTTGGTAAAACATTACTTTAGCGTCGTAAATTTCGACGAAGCTAGTAAGGTGTAGTGGAAGTAACTAATGAATATTGAATATTCAATTCGGCCAAAACTAACTAGTAATGTGGGGAAGAGTGAATTAATGAATATGTCTTTAAATATGAGTATATTTTCGTATATTATAATACAATATTATAGATAATTGTATAATAGATCACCATTTATGGTTATATCAATTTAAATACCCTGAAATTAATTTTTATCAACTGTTCGAAATTTGCTATTAAAAACAGTTAAACAGCAGCCATCTTAAGAAAATATTATTTAGAGTAGCTTCCCTTTCATTTCTATTCGTATGAAAATGTATTTAAATATGATTGTCTTGTATTTGTATTGGCCCACAAAGTATTTTAAAAAAAAAATAACATCATCAATTCTAGAAGTATTGTGATATGCAACTTGTATCTATGTAAATTTTTTATTAAAATCACGTTTTTTGTACTGTTTATTTGATCTTTACAATACAGTTTGGGTTTTTTCTTATTGTTTGAATGTTCGCTATTTTCATTTCAGGTTTTTCTTTTCTTTAATAAGTGATTCTATCGTAAATTATGACAGTTTTTTTACTTCTCTTTTCCTTAATTAAACCCCAACCTCCATCATATTTTCGTTGTCAATGTCACAAAAAGTCATGATGTAAAAAATTACGTTTCACTCTGCCTTTATCTAAGATCCCTAGCCATAATTCTGACAAAAATAAATGTTTTTCATCATTTTTACTTTCTCGTATGTACGAAGTATAGAGAAAGTCTTGTAATCGTGCAAAAATCTCTACGTTTTACACCTCACTGATACGGAAAAACATAATTTTACAATCTTGTTGGTATGTCTGTGTGTGTGTCTCTCTCTCTGTGTGTCTGTGTGTGTGTGTGTGTCTGTCTGTGTAAACACGATAACTTGAGTACCGTTACAGCTAGGTTGATGAAATTTCATATATAAGTATTTTATCAAAATCGTAGATCCGTATCAACTTTTGAGCGATTTCCGATAACCGGAAGTAGTACTTTTTCTACTTTGAATTTTTCAAAAGCCTATAACTTGAGTGTTATTTCAGATAGATATAGGAAATTTCACTATTAAGTAAAAGATCACATTCTCTACCTTCAGTCAAATTTTGAGTAATTTCCGTTGATCGGAAGTACTAATTTACGCTATTTCCGATTTCTCAAAAAACCGCATGTAAATTTATAAAGTACTAATAATATTGCGCACTATTATGCACATTTTGTTTTGGCGTAAGCTTGGTGCGCAATTCTTTTTTCTACGAGATTCTATTCTATTTTTAAAAAGTTAAATAATAAAAAATCATGTCTATATTCCGAGTTATATAAGAATATTCGAGAAAGTTGCGGGGGGGGGGGGGGGAATCACTCCCGGTTTATTATATAGAGAGACAAAAGTATTATCCACCAGCCTCCCTCGTAAAACATCACTTAAAAATATCAGCCACTCCACCCCTTAGTGCGGGTTCTCTTATCCGTAGTCACTACTTTTCAGACACATTTTGGTTATCCTTTGTTGTGTTGTCAAAATGTCAATATCAAACACCCAAATCAGTGATATCGGGCTGTCCATAAATGATGTCACATATGATTTGCTACGGGAGTGAGTGAAGATTTGTGACGTCAACTCGGGCGCCTCCGCAATTTATGACGTGTAGGTCTAATGAAAGGAGGTAAACGGGGAAAAATACCTAGGTCATTAATGGAGAACCTCTATAATACTATGTTCAATCAAAATAACGATAAATAAGCATTAGTATACGTATACCTTGCTCAAAACGAATCATCATAAATGTTGCAAGCCTGCTAGTTTTAGACGTTTGCCAAAACGGCCTCAACACATTATTATACCCGTCAAAAATGCCTGTCGACGAATAAGCAGCGACTAATGCGGGGCGTTAGGAATACGGCCATCAGCGTGGGGCCCGGGTCCGACTATACAAACGGGGCCGTTTTAGAGCACCAGTAGGCTATCCCGCTTTGTAAGATGCCGTAAATACTTTTATTCAATTTCGCGAAACTGCGCAAAAATGTAGTAATGTTCCATCTTTTGAGGCCTTTTTTTTTCTTGGACTTAAATTGAAATAACATGTTGACTGTTGGGCCTAATACTAATACACAGCTCTTAATTTTCGAACATCACTTTTAATGTATCACGATTCAGAACTATAATTTACTTAATATAAGTGTCATCTTATCGTTTATTCTGCTTTTTATAAAGCGCAGAGCAGCTTCAAAATCGGACGGCCATCCTTTTGTCACCAAGCTTCTTTTTTAGCTTAATGGGTAGTCTAGTTCTATACGGTGGGAGCTTAAAACATTTTTAAAGGGCCGAAAGTCTCATGACAGCAAGCTTTCAGAAATAACCACGTACGTTTAAATTATGGACGAGTGATTTCAAGGGAAACTACTGTATAATTGTTTTTGAAACATGACCGCTGCTTGTATTAGCTTATTGTTATCACGAACAGGGTAGTTAAAAGTTTATTCCAGGAAAATTTTAAACTGGTTTGGTCATGGATTGTGATTTGTTATTCAATTATCTGTTATATTATGTAAAATGTGTCATAAATATCGCCAAATGAAAAAAAAATTGTATTAGTTACCTCCACCCAGTGCCGGCGTTAGGGGGTGGAAAACGGGGCGGCCGCCCCAGGCCCCGCGCTTGAAGGGGCCCCCGCGCTTCAGCACCGCCATTGTTGTCTGAATTAGTTTGTAAACTTAAATAATCTTTGCTGTATTGAATTTGAAAAAAAAAATGGCCGAAATTGTTGATTGTTATAAACTGAGGCCAAGGCTGATGTTAGTGAGTTATCCCCTACATGACCTGGGACAGACCGTCATTCGATACGAAAACATTAGTGTCACACCTCGCTTAGTGTCGACTCGCTTTTGACCTGAGGTGACTGGTGATGGCGGTTGCGAATTAGCCCCCGACCTGACATGGGAAGTAAAATCAGGAAAACACGTAATGAGATACCCCATTGTATTCTGACCGATGAAGTGAAAATGATTCTGACGAAAATAATTAATTCCCAATGATCGTAAAAGATATATACGATCCGGGTAATTGGGAACATGTATCAACGATGTCCCAAGACAGGCTATGCGGCCTGTCGATTCTGTCAATAGAAAAAGACATTGCCTCCAACTTGGACTATGATGATATAATCAAGGAATTTTCCTCACGAAAGGCAAAAAAAGTAGATCTTCGTTTGTGAACGTACTGGTATGATTTTAATAAATAAACATTAATGTAAAAAAATCAAGTTTGAAGCCGATGTTCATCGTCTCTTTAATGCGTGTCTCTAACTTATATCTGTTTTATTTTTTTATTTTTCAAACAAAAAGCTTTAACAGAAACAAGCAACGTTTCAAAAGCACTTCTAAGTGAACACATCTATAATATAAGCGGGCTGTGTCTGTCCGTCCGTCATCGCTATAGATTTTGGAACCATAAAAATAAACTATGCACCATGCAGTGCTTTTGAGTGCACCGCAGTGTCTTATTATAAGTATTAGAGTAGGGTTTGTTTATATAACGACATAGAGCTATTTTATAATTTCCACTGTTTGTACAATTTTGCATAACGTAAAGAGAATATTAAATACATGCACATTGCTAAAACATATTAAAAGGATCAATGTCAAATATCGTTTTCGTTAATATTCCTAGAGAAAGTGGATACATTTTAATAACATAATAGCTGTAGGTTAGAAAAATCTAATTAAACTGTTTAGTAATTTTGCCAAGGGAGGTATTTTAAAAATAAATTGAACTCACGCTAAAAATGTGAATGCAAAATCTGCAAGACGGAATAATTGTTGGAATAATATAATTAGCAAAATGTGAATGCAAATTATGCAGACGTGTAAGAGTACATTATTGTTGGAATATTATAATTAGCATTGATTGATAAAAGGCTATTTTTTATTTATTTTATTCACTGAATGTAATGTTTACTACTTATAATTTTTAATCAACTATTAAGCACTATTATAGACGCGTCATCACGTTCATTCGGTGCGCAATGGTTTTAGTTATGAAACTCTATTGTAAATTTTTAAAATTTAAAGTACTGGGAAAAAATGCGTGAATGGATAAAGTGAAATATTGTAGGTAAAACACGGATTTTTTAAATACTGCCTATTATTTATTCTGTTTACTAATTATTATTCTATCTTTCGGTTTGCGGACAAGCTAGGGGTTTTATAGGAGAGGCGTAGCGAGGGGGGGGGGGCATATGTCCCCGGGTGCCAACCTTAGGGGGCGCCAAAGTGGGTTGGAAAAAATTTGCGAGGGGGGGGGGGTGGTGGAAATCGAAAGTTTTTAGGGCGGGGGGGGGGGGGGGACGGACAGGGGTGCAAATCGAAAGTTTGAGGGGGGTGCAAATCACCGGAAAGGGCGCGATTTGGCGCTACGGACTAGACTGTGAGCAATATGCCTTTATGATTGCATTTAAATTGTGTTTATGTTATGAGTGTTGTGTTTGTTTTTTCGTTTGTGTTTTTTTTTTGCGTTCGTTTGTGTTGTGTTTAGTTTTGTCCTGTTCCCAAGTTGGTACATTTAAAAAAGATTTACCGTGGCGGAGCACGGGATGCAGCTAGTTATTTTTTAATCAGTGTCTTTATGTTAAAACTAATATACGACATTGATAAGCAGCTTAAAAATACCATATATATCGTTATAAATATTAATTCGCGTTGAGAAGAAAAAAAAACCGCCTCTCTGTGCATGTTTTAGACACCAATGGAAAAATATAAGGCCCCGCGCGGATGGTTGGCCCTAGGCCCCGCGTACCCTAACGCCGGCTCTGCCTCCACCGCACATTACCAGCTTCGTTGGA